TGGAATCCACTATGAAATGCTCCGTCAACTGTCTCGAGAATCGCTCAACACACTACTAGATTTTTTTAACTATCTGTGGGAAGCAGGCTACTTTCCTCAAATGTGGAAACAGGCGCATGTAATTCCTTTGCTGAAAGCTGGGAAGGACCCTTCGGACCCCCGTAGTTATCGTCCAATCGCGTTAACGAGTTGCCTTGGCAAAACCTTTGAACGCCTCATTAATGGGCGGTTAATTTATATTTTGGAGCATAACCACTTCTTTGCTAATAACCAATGTGGTTTTTGAGAAGGGCGCTCTACTTTGGACCACATAGTCCGCCTGGAAACAACAATACGTGAAGCTTTCATAAATAGGCAACATTGTGTCTCTGTTTTCTTCGACCTGGAGAAAGCATATGATACGACATGGCGGTATGGTATCCTTCATGATTTATATGCCTCTGGGGTGCGTGGTCGCATGTTGCGGTGTATAAGCAGTTTTCTGACAGGTCGCTCCTTTCAAGTTCGACTCGGCACCACACTATCCGACCAGTATGTCCAGGAAAATGGTGTTCCGCAAGGAGGTGTACTGAGTGTCTCCTTGTTTGCCGTAAAGATAAACTCGTTGTCAAAGGTAATTCCACCTTCCGTTTCATACTCCCTCTACGTGGATGATATTCACATCTCTGCCTCTTCTTGTAATTTGTCTAGCTGTGAGCGGCAACTGCAGCTTACCATCAACAGAATTAGTAAGTGGGCTGACGAAAATGGGTTTAAGTTTTCAGCTGAGAAGACTATCTGCGTGCCATTTTCTCTGCGTCGGGGGCTGTTTCTAGATCCAGAACTGACACTAAACAGGGTTCCTATTAGTGTAAAAACGGAGCATAAATTTTTGGGCATAACCTTTGATAAAAAGTTAAACTTCGTTTCCCACCTGAAGAACCTGAAGAAGAAGTGCCTTAAATCAGCTAATATTCTTAAAGTCTTAGCGCACAAGTCATGGGGATCCGACAGAATATGTCTGCTACGCCTGTACAACTCCCTTATCCGGTCACGTCTGGACTATGGTGCTATAGTTTACGACTCAGCGAGGCCTTCTGCACTTAAAATGTTGGATCCTGTGCATCATCTCGGTTTAAGGCTCGCTACAGGTGCCTTCCGCACATCGCCCATTCCTAGCTTGTACGCTGAATCTAATCAGATGTCACTTAGGCACAGACGACGTTATCTTGCTGTGACTTATGCTTCCAGAATTTTGTCCTATCCAAATCACCCAACTTATGGTGCCTTGCAACATTCTCGGTTTGCTCGTCTTTTCGAACATAAGCCCAGGGTTGTACCGCCTTTAAGTCTTTGCCTTGAGGGCATTTGTACATCTCTTGACCTCACCCTTGACGAGACCGACCTTTTGCAGAAGGGTGAAAATGAAGCTCCGTGGAGTACGTTGCCCGTCTTTTGCGATTGGTATTTTACTAGATTTAATAAACATAACGTCCCCCCTGTGGTGATTCAACAAGAATTTCTTGAGGTGCAGAAGAAGTATGATAACTACTCCCAATTTTATACCGATGGTGCTAAAACATCGCATTTTGTAGGATCAGCAGTTTACTCTGAAGGATTCAGTAAGGCTCAGCGTCTCAAGGAATGTGCAAGTATTTACACGGCAGAGCTCTATGCAGTGTTGATGGCCTTGGAATATATCCTCATCAGCAAGACAATGAAATCTATTTTATTCGTGGACCCTCAAAGTGTGCTCACCACACTTTGCTCAATAAAGGGAAGTAAAAATAGACTGGCACAACTTGTCCGATCTAAGGTACAATGTGGTCTGCGGCTTGGCCGAGACATAAAATTCTGCTGGGTGCCTAGCCATGTGGGGATCCTAGGTAATGAAAGAGCAGACGAATTGGCCACGAGCTCTAAGCACCTACTGCCAACCACCTCACAGATTCCATTTCAAGACATGAAGCCCTTGGTGAAATCATCAGTTTTCCGGCTATGGCAATCGGAGTGGAGTCTGGAATGCGAAAACAAACTTCGCAGGATTAAACCAGCTCTTGGTATATGGGAGAGTGCATCCCACAAAACCCGCCGCCTTGAAGTTCTTTTGTGTCGTCTTAGAATTGGACATTCCTTCCTCACCCACAAACATCTGCTCAGGGGGGAAGCCCCACCCCTGTGTGATGAATGTGGGGAGCGTTTGACAATTTTACACATTTTGTGGCTGTGCCCAGGGCTTGAGCAAGAACGACGTACACATTTCCTCGAGTTTTTTTCCCACCAGATTCCTTTTCACCCAGCGCTGCTAATTGGCGAGACTCCTATAGTACCATTTGATCGTATCATAAATTACTTAAGAAAAACCGGCTTCCTACTAGAGTTGTAATTTTAACTCTATTAATTTTAACCTTGTCATATGAACCTCTTTTCGGTAATTCATATAAAAAAGACCCGAGTATGTCCCAACTAAACAAGCTTGGCGCAGTATGGCCATAGTAGCTTTGCGCCATAAAGCCCGTAATCAATCAATCAATCAATCAACATCAGTGGGCATCGTGAAAAACCTTGCCATTGTGCATGTACCCTGTGCAGCTTATGCTTTCGCACCACCAATTTTTTTCTCGCAGCCAGAACAAGTAGGAATGACTATTGCTGCAGTGCGAGGACATCACGTGCAAGCGATATAAAAATGTTGTTTTGGCTTGATTGCAGAAAACAGTCCAGCCTATAAAGCCTATAACTCTGTGTTTTTGTTCTCGTCCGTGTTATGCACAATTTCTTTTATTATATTTCCACAAATGTAGCAATTTGGCCACACAAGCAGCAGTATTTGTAAGATTAGTAGGCACTATATGTGCAACTACCAGAATTAGTGATGCACAAACCTTAGCGCCTCATTACTATTCAGCAGCCGCGATACTTGAAGCTTTAAAGGATCATTTGTGTTTCAATCATTTCCATGATTGAAACACTTAGTTCTATTTCTAAAATACTCTCAAAGCTACCCACCAAATATTATCTCGTTATTGGGAATTTAAATGACATTTTAATTGCATGACCTTTATTCATTATGACAATGTTACAACATGCACTCTTTGTCTGGAATGATCTTTAGCAGCTTCTTAGTTTGGTTATTAGGAAAGATTAAAAACTTATAGAAAGTTTTCATTTACACTTTTATCCTCCTTTGTATCATGCTCACGCAACTTCACATTACCACATTCGAGGTGCCCTTTCTTGAAGACTTCACAGCTCCTTTGCTAAGATATTGGCTCTAACATTACAGGCCTCACTGCAAGAGCTGAAGACGCTCAACCTTCTGCCTCAGAGCCGTCCAATGAAGAACCACAAGACGATGGAGTGGATGACCAGCTTCCAGATGATGAAGGTGACGCAAGTGACCAAGGAAAGAAAAGGGAGTTGAGGCGCGGCGACGGAAGATTTTTAATTACCGCTTGAGCCGTGGCAGGAGAGTCATAGAGAACACGTTTGAAATTCTCGCTCAGAGGTGGCGAATATTGAGAAGACCCTTCAGGGCAAGCGAGGTGAATACTGACAAGATTGTTGCAGCCTGCGTTGTCCTCCACAATTTTTTGCTAAAGGAGTCTGAAGCATCGGCTGCCGCCTACTGCCCTTCTGGCACAGCCGACCAGGAGGACTGGGAAGGTCGAACAACTGAGGGCACGTGGAGAAGGGACGCAGCCAGCAAGAACGCTGGACTGCGAGGCATCCCCAGAAGAGGCTACAATTCAGCCAAGTATGTTTAATTTTACTCGGTATGTTACTACAGTTGTGTTTATTTGTGTCAGGCTAGTAGAGGCAATGAAGCAGTTTTCAGTGGCTAAGAAAACAATGCGAGTCATTGGAAATGGGCCACATCAATATCAGCGATGTGATTGCTGCACCATTTGTGCCAAACTGCGCCGCTTACCCTGCTACATTTTGCCGAAACTGGGGGAATCTGCGCCAACGTTGCGTCTAAACTTTATTTCACCTTAATATTACTGAAAGTCAAATAACTCCGGCCTCACCGCTCAAGTGAACCGATACAATATGCTGTGCGAGTTTTCAAAATGTTTTCTTTGTCGACTCAAATGACATACTATTCCATTGCATTTCTTACGAAAGACTGACAGTACTCGGAAGTTTCGCACGAATTACCATGTTCATCGTCCGTACTGGTGGAGGGTCGATTAGTCTCTTTGAGTGCGCTTTTCACCAGGCACTGGTGTACCGCAGAGAAGCGAAAAGCGTGCAGTACTCATGTACGATAATAATCCCTGGGGAATGGATTATTATAGTTTATTTTGTCCACCGTGCCTGCACCTTTACATTAATAGCATTGATAAAGTCGGCATCGCGATTTTGCGTCTTGCTTCGCCGCAGTACACACTCCTCCACAGCCAGAGCCGTATATGAGGAGAGCCTGGCCATTGGGTGTGGCGACGAAGGTGCTGGAGAGGAGAAAAGTGAAGGGAAGCGAGGAGAGTGCTGAAGGAGTGAGAGAGAAAGAAGGAAGCAAAGAGGAGACGACCACCATTTTGACGCAACAATTGTAGGCGAAAATCATTGTTGAGGCTACGCGTCGTCCCACTCAGCTGGGAAGCAGCCGGGAGTTCTTGCACATGCGCTCACGCCTTGCGCCGCCGGCTGATTGGCTCGCGTGGGAAGGCCGCCATTTTGCCAGAATGGCGTCAGCGTTACGACTTGTTTCAGTCTATTTGAAACATCTTCAATCATTTCCTTGATTTGATATTTGAGGTTGTTTTATTTGCAGGGAGGCATACGAGATGCGGGACAAGCTTGCCCACCATTTTGTGACTGGAGGTGCTGTCCCCTGGCAAGACAAGATGGTCATGGGGCCTTGTGACAACTGACTTAGAACAAGAAGTCTCTCTTTCACACTTTATTAGTTTGGCACTCAGTAGTCTGGGCCGTAGAAGTGCTCCCGCTGAGCTTTGTACATCAGGTCCTCAATGTCATGCATTATTTCAATTTGTTTTGTCTCATGGAGGGTTCTTATTCTCCCGGCAAGGGACGCACAGAAGTGATGAACTGGATCTTCGGGGCCACCTGCCTTCCTCGCACGCCTCTCCCATATCTCCTCCAAAAGATTTACGCAGGTGCCAACAGGGTCCTGCATGTTGGATCCGCTTGAATGTGGCCTGATGGAACGAAATAGTGTAAAACAGTTTTATAATAACTAGAGATTGTTCACCTTGCTTTGTTGATCAGTTGCTGCTGGTCTCTTGGCTCCTCTTTTTGCCTGCATTTGTTTGAGTGAAGAGGACAGAACAGCAGCTCGTTTTATTTCCCATATGTATATATCCCCTGTGTTAATGTTGTGTAATGGCTTCTGACTTTAGTTTTAACTTCCTATGCAAATTATGAAATTCAAGATTAGGCCAAACCTTTGGCAGGCAGAACAAACTTAGATTAGAAAAGTGAGGCTTACACTGGGCCGTCTTGCTCCGCAAGGTTTGGCAGAATGCTGTCAGCAGGCCTGCCAAAGAGTAAATGCAATGAAGCTTTGATGCAAGGTTGTGCGGCTTTAATAAAATGATCCTAATGTCAACTCACGACTCCATCTCGCTGTCATCGTGCCGAGTATTCCTTGAAGAAAAAGTGAAAGCCGTTTACAACTCCCTGTAAGACCGAATTAGAGCGCAGCTCTTGAGGAGGAGGAGGGAAGGGTACTGGGGGGGGGGGGGGGTGAAGTGACCTGGGGGGGGGGTCACGTGACCTTGGGGGGTCACGTGACGATGCCGATGATGTCATCAGTGACGTCACTGATGACGTCATCAGTGATGATGACGATGACGATGCGGATGCCGGTGACGTCATCAGTGCACGTGACCTCGGCGGGGGGGTCACGTGACCCCGGGGGGTGGTCACGTGACCCCGGGGGGTGGTCACGTGACCTCGGGGGGTCACGTGACCTTGGGATGACCTTGGTTACGCCGACGCCAACGCCGCTCAAGCCGGGAACGGGCCCCTAAGAGCTGCGCCCTAAAAAGGCATTCGGCCATCAAACTATATCAACGGTAGCTTTCAGCAGGGCACTGAAACACTTGGGACCCACCTTCCACACCCCAGATGTCCACCGCTGCTGGTGGCACCGCTGGTGCTGGCACTACTGCTGGTGGCACCACTGCTGGATTCACCACTGCTGGTGGTGGTGGCGCCACTGCTGTTTTGAGCACCACAATAATAAATCGTTGAATGACAACAAACACATGTGAAACATAACTACTTTGTTCATCTTTTCGGTTACTTTTTGTTGTATGAATATTCAAGAAAAAATTTTTAAACAAAGGGTCAATGCAAGATGTCTCGCTTCGTTAAGTGTTTCTTGAATTTCCTTTTAATTTTATCTATTTAAAAGGTTTGTGTGACTAACCTTTCCTCTTTATCAAACTCCAGGTTTGTGTGAAGTCTGAAATTGCATGGGGAGTAATAATATAGAACTTCTCAGTTATAAAATTAACATTGATTTCATAAGAGGCATGGCTACATACATTGGATTGGGGGAGACTGGTTCCATGATCTCCATCATCTATAAAGTGAGGCCATGTTATTTTTCCGACCTGGGCTGCTCCCGCTCCACTTTTCATGGAGCATGTTATCTTGTTCTTGTGTTTTTGGTACGTGTCTTTAGCGTTTTTGAACTTGTTGACGAGGTCCACACCTGCAGAAATGAAACGGTCATTCATTAAGTTCTAACAGCAAACCGTGACTGGCTGTAAAAAAAAACGATTGAATAATGGGTGAGGCCATGTTCTATTTATTTTTGCAGGCTGAAAGCGTTAACCTGGGTTGGCAGCGCGAGTATTGCCTGAAGTAAGCAAATGTCCGGTCCAACACGTTCTCGTAAGAAAATATATCTGGGCGAATGCCCTCGAACAGCTGAATACTGACATATTTGCGTCGCACTAGAAGGAGGGATGTTCAGAATTCACAATTCAAGAACATGTGTTTACTTATTTGAGACTTCTAATGGAACGTGAGCGGTTTTCGGGGCACGACCAGGACCAACTTGCTTATAGACCCCTTTCAAAAAATCTGGCAACAGCGAAAATCCGCTGAACGAGTCCAACAACATTGGGCGGCCGGCGCCATTGGGAAGGACCCTGTTGCGGCCGGCATGGTTGTTTTGACTGTAGCGTTCTTGTTTCGTCGATCCCTTAGCCTCTGTATGGCTGCAGGTAGCGTTTTCCCGATCATGGGTTGGGTGAACGACCTTTCCCAGCTCCCAGCCGTCAAAGATTATGAGGTATATCGCTTCTTCAAGAGCCGATCGGACTCGAAACGACAATTCGACAGAAGTTACAACTTTCTCGTTGAGGTGTTCGTGGTCGCAGCATCTATAAAGGCCAACTACGCAAGAAAAAGGTAATTACTAAGATCTTTGTAGTTACGACATCAAACATGTCATCAAAAAATAATAGGAACCGGTTATAATTTACGGGCTGCAGTTAGAAGTCGCCAGTACTCTCCGGATGTGCGACAAAACAGGCGCAGGGGTCCCGCTTCGCTGTCGCTCGGACAGTCGCGCGATGAAGCACACCGCATAAACGCGACGAGCGAGCGACCAAGGCGAGGAGCGTCGTTTTCTAGAAATCCCAAACCAAGCGACGCGACAAGCGACAGTGAAACATTTTCGTTGCTCGTAGCCGACTTTCGTCGCTTGTGCCATCGCTTGACTCGTCAAATCGCATTTTTTTGCTTGGAATTAAGACCTAACATTTCAATGCGCAAGTTAACCAGTAAAGGACGTATTCGACACAAGTTCCTACTTGATACGTCGAGTCCCTTTTTCTTGAGGGGGATTTTAGAGTTGGGAAATGTAGAGCAGCAAATTTGGCAGTGAAGCAGAAGTTGCAAGCGCGTGCATGTTGCTTTGCATAAAGCACGCGCTGCACAGATGTCTGCGCTACAGGCAGCTTAAAGCGTCAGGTCGTATGGCTTCATGCCTACTTAACATATAATTTACACGCGCAAGTTTGAAGCACCGCGAGCTCGTGCATACCTGAAGCTAGGCGCTCGCGAAGTTGTCACGTCCACAAGCGATACCACGAGCAACATTATATTTGTATTTGACGCCTTGATTTCTTCAAGCTAGCTGAAACTTGAAAACTCTACCTCCAAACGCAACAAAGTGAGATTAAAAACACCTGACTCAAACACCCAAAGAAGCGTAGCGTGAAAACGGTTCGTGTTCCGTTTTTGCACTTCAGCAGGGAAACGTTCAACGCGGCTGCGCCGTTGTCAACCGATAACGAGTACATTTCCGAATACTTACCTTATTGCCGGACTCTTCCAGATACCCACTCTGCTTACAGAGGGGTACGCAGCAGTACGTTGGTATCGTGGGCAGGAATTGACTAGCGTCTACGGCCAACGCAGCGTATGCAGCGGCGTGCACTATCCTGCAGCATGGCGGCTGCCACTAGTTGCTGTTGCGTACGACAGGTGGCACTTTTTTCTCTGATGGGTCTATAATCCGCGTCACAAGAAAGCACCGTCAGAGCTAGCTCACGAGCGGAGTGGCCAGTCGTGTCTCAAGCGCTCGCGCGCCCCAGGCTTCAGCAGGCTTTCTTCACTCGGCCGAGACGCCGATTCAAGCACGCCGTCCCAGTTGCTATAATCAGCGTCTCAAGAAAGCACCGCCAAAGCTAGTGCACGAGCCGAGTGGCACGTGAAGCCGAGTCGCAAACGCTTGGCAAGCTTTCTTCAAACAGCCATGCTGATTCTAGCAAGCAGGCCCAGAAGCCCAGATCACGCTCGGCGTATACAAGCGAGTACGATCGGGTTGTTCAGTTGAATCATATATTCGGAAAAAGTTGTCCTTCACTTTGACGCGCGTAACTTTCGTGAAATGAAAATGGTACGTACCAGGTACCCCTCCCAGGTTCTCGCCGAGCATCGTCCACACTTCATCTTTATACTTGATATCCTTAAATTGTGGATGTCTCTTGTCGTACAAGACGGGGTATTGTTTGATTACATCCAAAAGAACATCAGTCCTCACATTCGTCGACTTTTTTTTTGCGTTAGGCTTAGCCGATTTGGCGACGGTACTCGCGACGGGAGCCATGTTGGAATGAGATCCCGAGATGCTGACGTGACGTCAGCCTCAGTGTCGCGTTGTGATTGGTTGCCTTTTGCGGTTCGGGACAGCGGTTGGGAGAAATCGGTCCCGAAGCGGTTGGCAAAAACGCGCCCCAACCGCTCGATCTCAGCCGCTTTGCGGTTGAGAACGCGCGGATCCGGTTTGCGAACGCGGATCCACTTCCAGTGTGAACGCGCCATTAGACTTTTTAAAACAAACTGGATATTTATACCATCTGTAAATATGTAGCCTCAAAGTAAACTTTTGTTATAATATGCTCTAAATAAGTTAAGTTTGGCGCATTATGGCCCTCGTTGCTGCTGCGCCAATAAACTTCTAATCATCATCATTGATTCTTTATTTGCTACTGAACTGTGTGCATGTCCCTAAAAAACTAGCTGCATTTGCTTCTGTCTTCATCCTTCTGGTTTGTATAACATTGAATCATCACTTGTATAAGACTCGTCTGCAACTGGCTTCAGCAATTTTTGGTCTACTTGTGTTAATAAATTGTGGCAGATATGAGCATACACTGCATTGATATTGTTTTTGACAAGTATTTAGACCTTTCATGTTTCTGGACTTTTCCTTTGTTTTATTGTTTTCGAGTTAGTGTGTCACTAATAAAGTTAGTTGTCTGTGTCCTAATGAAAATAAAAGAATAGTAAATATACAGCTTGTCTCTGTCTCTCCTATTTTAACTATGGTGTGGCTAGCGTTTCGTCCAGACGGAACGATAGTCGCCTCTAGAGTTTCGTCTGGAACGCGGAGAGCTCGTGCCATTTGGGTCACCCTTTTCGGACGGTACGTGTACTACTTGGGATCGCGTTGACCCACACTCACGCCGCTTCTCGGCGACAGTCTGTGGCTGCTAGTTACAAACTTACTAACCCGCTTGGCCCTTCGTATTCGCTGCTTTGCGGCGTCCAGCCAGTGACCCAAGCCCGCTGTTCCCCTCTTGCACCCCCGGAAAGGGAGTCCCATGCCATTTAGTTCAGCAAAGTTTCATTGACGACATGCATTCATTTTTTCAGTGATAATTGTAAAAAAGAAATTTCTCACAATATCGGCAAATGTACAACAATGAAAAAAAAAATGCTCAAGAAAAAAAAAGTGAAAGCCGCTTACAACTCCTTGTAACGCCGAATTGGAGCGCAGCTCTTGAGGAGGAGGAGGGAAGGGCGCTGGGGGGGGGTTAGACTAACCAGGGGGGGTTACGTGACCTTGGGGGGTCACCTGACCCCCAATGCCGATGATGTCATCACTGACGTCACTGATGACGTCATTAGTGACGTCACTGATGACTTCACCAGTGATGATGACGATGACGATGCGAATGTCGGTGACGTCATCAGTGACGTCGCTGACGACGTCATCAGTGATGATGACGATGCGGATGCCGGTGACGACATCAATGACGTCACTGATTTCGTCATCAGTGATGATGACGATGCGGATGTCGGTAACGTCACCGGCATCCACATCGTCATCGTCATCATCACCGATGACGTCACCGGCATCCACATCGTCATCGTCATCATCACTGATGACGTCACCGGCATCCACATCGTCATCATCACTGATGACGTCACCGGCATCCGCATCGTCATCGTCATCATCACTGATGACGTCATCACTGATGACGTCACCGGCATCCACATCGTCATCATCACTGATGACGTCACCGGCATCCAGATCGTCATCGTCACTGATGACGTCATCATCATTGATGTCATCATCACTGATGACGTCACCGGCATCCACATCGTCATCGTCATCATCACTGATGACGTCACCAGCATCCACATCGTCATCGTCATCATCACTTATGACGTCACCGGCATCCGCATCGTCATCGTCATCACTGATGATGACGATGACGATGTGGATGCCGGTGACGTCATCAGTGTCGATGACGTCATCGGGGGGTCACGTGACATCGGCGGGGGTCACGTGACCTCGAGGAGGGGGTCACGTGACCTCAGGGGAGTAACGTGACCTCGAGGAGGGGGTCACGTGACCTCAGGGGAGTCACGTGACTTCGGGGGGTCACGTGACCTCGGGGGGGGGGGGGGGGTCACGTGCCTCCCCACGAAGTCACGTGACCCCGGTGGGGGGCTCGCGCGGTGCATTATGGGATATTTCCCATGATGCACCGCGCGGTTACGCCGACGGCGACGGCGACGCCGCTCAAGCCGGAAACGGGCCCCTAAGAGCTGCGCTCTAAAAATAAAAATAAAGCAGACACTGCAAATTCGACCCGGGCCCGCTGCGTGTAAAGCAGGCATCTTTCCACTACGCTACGCCGCCGCTTCAAAAACTAGTTTTGACCACTCGTTTTATAGAGACCCAACATAGACGGAACTTTAGCGGAGACTATCGTTCCGTTTGGACTGAACTCCAGACACTTCCTTTTAACTATTGTTTTGAGTTTGCCTATTTTAATGGTCTATTTTAAACATTTTTTTACGCTTTTGCCTTTCCTACATCATTATTTTAAAAGAATGAGTATACATTTTTTTTTTTCAAGTATACAATAGTATGTTCATTACTGGCCGGGCAAAATAAAATTGATTGAAGCACCCAAGCTGCAAACAGAACCTAAACGAGGCCCAACAATGAATGTTTACCGCTAAGCGTTAGAATTTGCATGGAGTACTCTCCCGTGTTTTCACGGTCCATGTCGTCCTTCCGGAAGATCGTGTACACATCTCTTTTGTCAAAGTTCATGTGCCGTGGAGTAAAATTGCAGATATTGTCACGAATGGCAAGTGATGAGGCGGGAAATGACTGAGTAAACTGAACGTT